AAAAAAAGTTACATCGAATAGATCTCCAAGAAGATCGAGGAGAACTTTGTATTGAGAATCAAACAGAGAGAAGAAGCCATCTAGATAATAACTATGGACCGGAAGGTCTGTGGTAAACTACTCACAACTCATCGGAGAGGCCTTGGAGATGATGTAGAGGCCCTCCGTGGTCGATTCCACCTCCGGTGGAGCGCCGACAAAGGCTCCAAGATGGGATCTCGCGAATACAGAAGGTTGCGGCGGTGGAATTAGGTTTTCGTGGTGCTCCTGGATGTTTTCGGGGTACGTGGGTATATATAGGAGGAAGAAGTAGGTCGGTGGACGCTCAAGGGGCCCACGAGGGTGGGGGCGCGCCCACCCCTAGGGGGCACACCGGGCACCCTCGTGGCCGCCTCATCTGTTGCTTGACTTCCACTCCAAGTCCCCTGGATTGCGTTTGTTCCAAAAAGATCGCCCCCGAAGGTTTCATTCCGTTTGGACTCCATTTGATATTCCTTTTCTTTGAAACACTGAAATAGGCAAAAAAACAGCAATTCGGGTTGGGCCTCCGGTTAGTAGGTTAGTCCCAAAAATGATATAAAAGTGTAAAGAAAGCCCATAAACATCCAAAACGGGTAATATAATAGCATGGAACAATCAAAAATTATAGATACGTTGGAGACGTATCAGTGACCACCTCCACGCCCACGTAGTTGATGATGATCACCTTCATGGTGTCGCAGGTCAACAGCTTGAACGTCAACATGTACCCGATCATGATCTGGTGAACGGCGGTGAAGGTGGCCCAACCCTAATCAAGGGTAACCCTGCTGTTGATCACCATCACCGTCACTCTCCACGCGCAGCCGGTGTTCGTCTTGAGCTTGAACTCTATAGGGATGGCGGGGAAGTACTTCGTGAAGTCTAGAGGCAATGACAGACTCTCTACCTTTGGAGCAAGGACAACCTTGCAGAAGTGGTTTGGTCATGACTCCTAATGGTAGTGGTCATAGTTCCCCCGCTTGGGGCTTGGGTGATCCTGCACCGGCACTTCGACCAATGGAGGCACAACCTCCTTGCCCTTCTCCAATGGTGGCACGACATCCTTGCCCTTGTCCATCTGCATTATGAACAACACACAGTTCAATGGTCAGCATTCATTCATATCGGCCTAACGCTTCTATATTAACCCACCCTACTAACCCATCACCGCACTCAAACCTCCTCTATTTCACCACTTCTCCTCTTCCACCTCTCTGTTTCACCACCTCTCCTCTTCGACCTCTCTGTTTCACCACCTCTCCCTCGCCATGAAATCCAACCCCAACCCCAACCCTTTCCCCTGGGGCATTGGATGGAGGGCCTTCTTCCTTGGGTGCTCGCTCGGTGACTGCACGGAGTTCGAGCACACCATGGAAGTGTGCTAGAACTTCAGGAACATCGATAACATGCATAAGGAGGCGGATGCTGTGATGAAGAAGGCTACGCCAGATGAGATGAAGACACTGATTTTGGACCTAGCCAGGGGCGCGATGTCAGGGGACATCCTACGCTGGGCCATGAATCAGGCAGACTCCGACAATGTTGGACATCGGGTAAGATGGGCCAAGTACAATCAGTACAAGGCGCCTCAAGACCAGTGTGCCGCAACATACTGGAGTAGCATGTTCGGGTTGTCGGAGGGGGGCGCCGGCGGTAGGCGACCGTGCAAGACCCATCGTTCTTGACGAAGACGATGAGGAAGAAAAGAATATGGCTACCCCTTGCTGCTCGACGCGACTCCAGGGTCGCTTGCAACTAGACAAGAAAGTTTGTACCCCAATCCCCACCCCCGATGTAATAAAAAAATAACATATGAACCCTAGTAGTCGTCGATGCAGTTCCTCCACCCCCGATGTAATCAAAAAATAACCTATGAACCCTAGTAGTCGTCGATGCAGTTCCTCCACCCCCGATGTGTTCAATCCCCTCCCTAACTCTTCAATCATGTGCTCTAATCTAATCTACCCCGAGTCGAAAGCAGTGAATCTACAGACAGGACGAGGTCTTACCGCCATGGCGATGAGCTCCGGTGGAGGTCTGCAGTCGCTCCGGTTGTTGCCGTCGTCTTGGATCGATTCACACTAGAGCTCCGGTGGTTGCTGTCGTCGCCACCGCCGGTTTGAGTGGGGAAGAGGGGAGAGAGCGGCGAGGAAGGGAGGTGAGGGTAATTTATGACGATGCGTCTGGAAACAACGCAACTTCTCTGGACCGTACCCACGCATGCAACTGCCCACGCCCACGTGCCTAGGTTGCATCGATTTGAGCGTTCCTCTGGATGCAGGCCCAGATGTGCTTTAATGTTCATGCTATGCAGCCTACCAAATACATCCTATGTTCGTGAGATCTTACACAAACATCCATGCAAAAGTTTCCTGTAATTTTCTTCTACTTTTCAATATATTGTCACTTATGATTGTACCACCGGCCTGACCCAAGCAACATCAATCCAAACACCCCGCAAAAAAACAAGGACGTCGATAACGCCCACACGTGTGGACGTTAAAGGGTCTGGCCACACACCATGTGTGGTGTGAGCAGGAGGCAGCCCACACGGGTTGTGTGTGTGCAAACATTAGAATTGCTCACACGTGTGGGCGCGGCTACTTCGTGCCACACTTCCAACAAGTACTACTCGTCTCCATCCCGCGCGTGTGGCACGAAGCAAAAATGCCCACACGTCCTAGGCAGCTACGTTAGGTACTCGCGGGATGACGATTTAGTTGCCATCCTAGTTGACAGATGTAGTTATCCGGGATAGCAAGTGTAGTTACCGAAAAAGGGTTTCCCCCCGCTTTGTATTCCAAAGCAAACCACCATTGACACATCGCAATGCTGGGGCGAGCAGCACATCAAGCCCAAAGAAAGAGAAGAAGAAAGGAAGAAAAAAACTAAAAACGGCAAAGATACAAGATACCAAAGGAGCCACTAACAAGACTCGAATACACCAAGCACAAGCTTGAACATCGAAGCCCTCGGCGAACAGGAGCCAGCACACGCCGCGGCTGAGCCAAGGTAGATCCCGCTGCAGGAGGATTGTCACGCTCTGTCATCCCCCTTGGGCCAAGCCATCCGGTCCGCCATTCGTCTCTACCTCCGAAGAGAGCCCCCTGCCCTCTAGTCCTGGATCGGAGGACACTACGCCGTCGACAGGCAGAGTCGCTCACCCCTGAGCTCGCATGACCAGGACCAACAGGTTGCCGGGAGGGGACGACAAACACAACGACCGCACCAGGCAGCCGCACCACCGAGCATCGCCAACGCCGCGCGCCGGCGCCAACATCACCGCAAGTGGCCGAGCATGGACACCACTGACGATATCCGGCAGCCACCTCCCATGCCAAGGCCTCGACCACCACTCCGTCGCACCAAGGTGGTGTCTTCAAGAAGAAAAACGACGTCGGAGCGCCGTCACCACCCAATCCGGAGATTTGGGGCTTTCACCCGGGACGAGGAAGGGAGGGCGAGGGGGGGATTGCGAAGCCGCCTTCAAGAAGGGGAACGACGCCGGAGCACCGCCGGCATCGTGGCCGCAGAGAACAGCCAAGGGGTTTCCCCCAATCCATCCCCCGAGAGGAAGCACCATCGCCAGATCTGCTCCCAGGGCAAACGGGGAAGCCCCAGGAGCCAGCCACGCTCGCCGCCGATCCGCCGCCCACGCGGCCAGGAGCGGCGCACCCCGCATCTGCATCAGCCACCCGCCGAAGGGGGGCCGACGCGCTCCACCAGTGGCCGCCGCCACCACGCCAGGCACCACCGCGCAGAACAGAGCACACCAAGCCCAACACGCCGCCGCCAGGCACCGGCCCCGCCACCGTTGTCCGCCGCCGCGCCGTCACGCCCTCGGCCAGCGCCACGCCGCCGCCCGCTGACCCCGACCCGCGTCGGCCCTAGTGAGCAGGGGGGAGGAAGGCCCCGCCGCCGCCGAGGCTGACCGGGCTTCGCCCGTCAGCGCGAGCCGGCGGCGGCGAGGGAGGAGTCGAGGAGGAGGGGGGCCTGTTACCGGCGGCTAGGGTTTCCCCTCCGCGTCGCCCGCGGGAGCGACCGGGAGGGGAGGGGGGGTACTCCTTAGGCTGTTATTAGAAAGCAAGTGTAGTTGTAAAAGCATGACAACTCTATCTGTTTTGATTAACTATAGTTGCCATGTCTAATTTATGGTAGTTGCCGCGTGTAATCAAACCGTAGTTGCCGTGTGTGATTAACTACTTGCCACACATGGTCAAATAATAGTTGTCATGTGTATTTACCTAGTTGCCACGTGTGGTCCAACCATAGTTGCCATGTACAGTTAATCGCAGTTGCCATGTGTGTTTATCTGGTTGCCACATACACGCAACTGCAGTTGCCGTCTAGCAAAAGAATCACAGTTGTCATGTTTGTTTACCTAGTTGCCACGTTCGCGTAACTGCAGTTGCCATGCACAATGTTGGAGTGTCGTGTGGGCGAAAATCAGTTCACCCACACGCTCATGGACTAGGTGATGGCTGTGTGGGCAGAAACTAGTTTTCTCACACAGTGGAGCTGGCAACAGCATGATACGGGACGTGTGGGCAAACTCTTCAACATCCACACATTAGCCCCATCCTACATGGCATACAAAATCCACATTTTTGTGTTAAAATTCGTGCAAAAGACAATCAACGACTATCTAGGTGGGCAAGTTGGAGAATGCCCACACCTATACCTATGGACGTTAGTGTTTCCGAAAAACAAACATCAATCCAAACAGCGCGGGCGTGTCCAGAAGTCCTACACGACCGTTTGGCTCCAGTCCAGATGTCCACCACGCTCGACCAAAGGGCACCGCCCCATCCCCACGCGTCGCCCTGGAGGCTCGCGGAAGCCTCTGAGCCGCCACGTTGAAACCCCTTGCTCGACCTACTCTACTCTCCCACCGCTTCGCTCCACCGATCCAAACCCACTTCGCAAAACCTGTGCACGAAGGAGCCCCCAAACCCAACCAACTAGAACGAGTGATATCCATGGAGAAGAAGGATCTGCTCGGCGTCCGGACGAAGCCGGCGGCAGGGAAGCGGCGGCGCAAGGTGGCAGCTGGCCTGGGACTCGCCAAGGCGATCGCGGAGTACCTCGCGTCCGACTCCTATATGTACGCGCCGCTGGTCTCAGAACCACAGGAGCCGGCGCCGCCGCAGCCCGCGGCAGCGCCTGCGACAAGTACACCTGGTTAGTCACCGATTCCTCATTCCTAATCCTTCTTGCGAGCGACGTATAATCATGTGTGGTAGTTTAGGACCCTTTTCTGAAAAGGGTACAGCGCATAATTCCAGTGCTGACCTGGTGAAATTTCAGTGTGTTGCATACCTGCATCCCACAGCGAACTGCTCGAGCAACTGAGCACTAGGTAGTGGCGTAGTGTTGTATCTATACAGTACATGTTGGTGCCTAGTACATGTAATCCGCGGGGAGGACGAACCTTTTGATGTGAGTAATACTAATTTTACAGTTCAGTTCTACTCTACTACTTGACCAAACCAGCAGATGGTAGAGATAAAAACTAAAAAAAAAAATGAAACTCCATGGGCACTAGCACCCACGGTTTATTGATATAGAAGAAGCATCCCTCATGAGAATTCCAGAAATTCGTCCCCGACGTGGATCGAACTCTGGTCGTTAGGTTTACAATCATGCGCCCCCAACCACTGGGCTATGCCCACGTCCTCGGTAGAGATAAAAACTGAGAGCTGGAATTTACTAATAAACTGAGTAATACTAATAAACTGAGAGCTGGAGTAGAAGAGAAGATGTCAGAATTATTTACGTAGATAGCTAACAGTATAGCCCACGGGAAGATATCAGAGTTCTTTCTAAAAAAACAAGATATCAGAATTATGTTAATCGTGCTGCTGGAATTCAATCTTCTGGTAATCGATATAGTAGAAGGATGGGGTTGCATTCAGCTGTTTATTATACAGAGATGGTTGAAGGAACATATAGTCTTACAAAGCAAATTAATCAAGTTAAGAGTTATTACTAATCTTCCAGATTTCCTTCTTCCCATTTAGTTACCGTCTTAAGAAAAATAAAATATTGTTGTGTATCACGATTGTGTGGAATCTCGAAGTCTCGAGTTTAGCAAGTCTTAAGGCATTTTCCATTGAGTCTGAACATGTAGCTTGCTTTTCGATTCTCTGCTTATTAATTTATTTGGACCAAACTACTTATTGGTTGGCTGCTTCATTTCAATCCAGTTTAGTCAAGTAAGATGTCCACCTCATGATATATTGTCGTGCAGCTTCTGCAGAGAAAGGAGTAGCTCTGGTGCAAAAATACAGAGGCTCTTGGCGTGGTACATTTGCTGCCTGCTAGAAGCATTTGTGGCGATGTAGCTGTGTAGCCTTTTAGCATAAGCTTAAAGCTTTCCCGATGTTGTTTTATTCTCCTTTGACTATGCACATATGCTTTCTCTAACAATTTACCTTTGTTCTGGAGCCATGTCTCCGAGAAAGGCTAACAGTTGGTTAATCCAGGGGCATATGTAACTATCTGTACCTTATCTTGTGTCTTCACTGATGCAACCGGACTCTCGGTGTATCTCGTATGATGTTCTCGTTTTGCTACTTTGCTGCCTTTTCCTTGGATGTAGCTTACTATTGTTTTGTTTGTCTATCTCACCTGAAAAGTGAATAATCCTACTGCATTCTCGACCGTAGTATATATCCGTCTAACTCTAAGTTGGTGCCAGTCAGAATGCGCAAAGCACTGATCCGTGGGTAGGGTTTACTGGGTTGTTTGGTTTGTCATATGAGCATCTATAACCGTGTTTGGTTTGTCATATGAGTATCTACAACCGGACCCACCACTTCCCTTCGGGGAATCGGAAATACTCACCCAATGGGACCCACCAAACCCATCCCAAATGTTTGGGCTGTCCGACTCACTTCATATGCAACCCCACCAAACCCATCCAAATGTTTGGGCAGGCACCCTTCATACGCAACTCATATGTGGGACGGATATAAAGCGGGTTTTTTTTTTTTGAACGGGGGCACAAAATGCGTCCGGCTTTCAATTAATAAAGTCCACCAACATGCATCATTCAATAATAAAGCCCACCAACAAGCATCATCCAAGTTTTAAAACGGAGTTTCAATTAATAAAGTCCACCAACATGCATCATTCAATAATAAAGCCCACCAACAAGCATCATCCAAGTTTTAAAACGGAGACACAAGATGCGTCTAGCTTTAAATTAATAAAGTCCATAGTTTGGAACGATGCAGAAAACCAAACACAAACGATCCAAGTTAGGAACGATACAGAAAATCAAACACAAAAGGCCGAAGCCAAAAATCTTAAAACATGCAACTGGCCGTAGCCTGATAAGAACCTAGGCCTGATAAGAACCTAGCAGTAGCCTAAACCGCGGGACGGAAGGAGTCCAAAACCAGCAAAACACCATGGGGATCAATGACGAGCAGCGATTTGAATAGCGCAGATCCTCTTCATGGCCTCTTCCATCCGCTCAGTGTCCTGTCGTTTTCCCAACGGCATCCAAGTCTGAAGAAACAAATGGCATTTGAAAATGATGTCAGCAAGATGCGAAGGAACCTTATGCTCGATAGTAATTTTGTTACAGGTGGCCCAAAAGAGACCACAACAACACCCCTATGCAACGCTAAAGAATCCTAGCGAATCCACCCCTATGAACGCTGAGAATGGCGCACAACTCCCCAGTGGAGTGAGGGTTCCAGTTTTGCCCAAAGGCTTCCCGGACCGCACTCCAAGCAAAACGGCGAGGTAGCAATTGAAGAAGATGTTGTTAGCATCCTCATGAGCCCCCCAGACTGCACAGTTACCGTCCGAAGGTCCGTTTCTCTTGGCAACGTTATTGGACGATGGAAGGCGGTCACGGAACATTTGCCAAGGAAACACCTTGATTTTGAGGGGGATAGCCACTTTCCACAGTCTCCTAGCTATGTCAAGTGTAGGGCCCCCCAATAATTTGGCGTAAAGCGATTTAACCGAGAACTTCCTGGAATTTTTGAGAGACCGGGACACTACGTCTTGCTCGGTGCTCAGCATAGTACCGGACAACATGGTGCATAGCCCCTCCCAGCACGCCCGTTCTGGGTCAGTGAGGGGCCGCATGAAAGAGATTGCTGGAGGGGTTGCTCTAAGCGCGTCTGCCACTAAAATTTCTGTGTTCGTAGCTAAGCGGTAAAGAGATTGGTGGCTTTGCCAAAGTGGCTCAACACCACACCAAGAGTCAAGCCAAAAGCGTGTCGATCTACCGTTGTTAACTCGAAACTGGGCTCCTAGCGCCAAAGCCGGTTTGACAGCCTGAATCCTATTCCAGAAGGTCAAACTTTTGGCCTTGGAAGTAAGGAAGTTACCGTTAGGGAAATATTTCGCCCTAAGGATCTCCGCCCAGAGCCCCCGCTCATTCTGCGAGAGCTTCCACAACCATTTAGAAAGGAGGGCCACGTTCATGAGTTTGGAGTTTAGAATCCCCAACCCTCCAAACTTCTTGGGCCGGCAAACCGCAGCCCACTTGACTAAGTGGTATTTCCTTTTGGTCCCTGTTCCTTCGTAAAAGAACTTGGACCTGGTGTGTCAAGCTTCGCGTGAACACCGTCAGCAAGAATAAACATACCCATAGTAAACATGGGTAGAGAGGAAAGACTAGCGTTAGTCAGGATAAGCCTAGCGGCTTAGGACATGAACCTACCACACCAAGGGCTGACCTTGTTCGCCACCTTGCCATAAAGGGGCTCCCAATCGTGAATGGAGATATGTTTGTTAGTGATCGGGAGGCCTAGGTACTTAATTAGGAAGCTCCCTAACTTACAATTAAGCATATTGGCAACATAGAACGCCTCAGGTTCTACCATCCCAATGGCAATCACCTCGCTCTTAAGGAACTTGATCTTCAGGCCCGAGATCACCTCGAAAGCTAAAAGGATGAGCTTGATATAAGCGATACTATGGTTTTCGGGCTCAAAGAGCAGCATCGTGTCGTCCGCGTATTGGAGATGCGTGACTCCCCCTGGAATGAGGTGAGTGACCATGTCCCGGATGTGCCCGGCATCCTTCGCCTTGCTGATCATGGCCGAGAGGGCGTCCGCAACTAGGTTAAAGATCAAGGGGAAGCTTGGGTCTCCTTGTCTTAGGCCACGCTTGTTGCAGAAGAAGTTCCCAACTTCTCCGTTAATTGACACTACAGTCTGCCCCCCCCTGAGACCAGATGAATGATGCGGTGAACTAAACCTGACTCGAAGCCCTTCCGAATCAGAACCTCAAGAATGAAATCCCAGTTCACTAGATTGTAGGCTTTCTCGAAGTCCAGCTTGAGGAGCACAACCTGCTGCTTGGTTCGTTTAAGCTCATGGATAGTTTCCTGAAGCACAACCGGGCCCTCAAGAATGTTGCGACCTTTGAGAAAGGTCGACTGGATCCTATTGATCACCCGCTGCGCGATAGGGGCCAGTCTCATCGTGTAAGCCTTAGCGCAAATTTTGAATGGAATATTGATGAGGGTTATCGGTCGGTACTGCTTAATCGAGTCGCACCCCATAACCTTTGGGATCAAGTTGATGACCCCAAAGTTGAGGCGCGAGATGTCTACCATACCTAACACAAACCCGTTGATAATATCATAAAACCACCCTTTCAGTGCTGGCCAAAAGCGTCTAAATAAGGCCACCGGCCAGCCATCGGGGCCTGGGGCAGTGTCAACCTTCATTGAACCCACAGCCGAGTCAATTTCCTCCGTGGAAAAGGATAGGGCCAGGAGATCGTTTTCTTCCTGTGAAACACGAGTGTCATGTCCCCACATGTCAGGTCGTAGTCGCAGTGGTTTCTGTCGTGGTTCTAAGCCTGACAGTAGAATGGGGGGTAGGTATGGAGAGGCAAGATCCTAGCTATGGAGCAGTTGTGCACACAAGTGTTTTACGAGTTCAGGCCCTTCTCGGAGGAAGTAACAGCCCTACGTCTCGGAGCCCGGAGGCGGTCGACTGAATTATGTGTGTGAGAGTTACAGGGGTGCGAACCCTTCTACCAGTGGAGGGGGTGGCTTATATAGAGGATGCCAAGACCCCAGCCATCCCACGTAGCAGAGGGTTAAAGTACATTAAGGTCTGGCGTTACTGGTAACGCCCTACATAAAGTGCCATCATGACCATTAAGACTACTTAATTACAGACTGTTTGGATACAGAGCAGATCTTGAACTCCTGGTGGTCGAGTGAGTCTTCATGGTCGAGTGTCTTCAGGTTCGTCGAGTGTCTTCTAGTCCGTCGAGTGGAGTCCCTCTTGGTCGACTGGAGGATGGCTTCTTCTAAGAGATGTCCTTGGGGAGGGTACCTTGGTCAGGTTCATGACCCTACCCTAGGTACATGACTTCATCAGTAGCCCCCAAATGGATCGAGGTTTGAGTGGGGAAGGAGTTGGCAATCTTTCCGACCTGCTATTTGGTGCTGTAAAGGTGTTTTTCTCTGGATCAATGACTTTCAAATGAGGGTGTCAACTTTCGTTCAGTCGCCTTGATCCATTCTTTATATCTGTTGAGTGAACTTTATGAACTTGGGAATTTCCGAGCGACGGATTATAGGAGATCTTCCGTCTGACAAGTTGCCCTGTGGCTAGTGGATTTAGTGGGATCCGAATTTTGGGAAGCGCGCGAAGCGGAGCAGACCAAGGTACTCGGATGGGATAAGGCAGGGACGCCTCAATTCTCGCGCCGCCTTTTTCGCCACGTATCGCTTGCGCAACTGTTTCGGGATTTGACAGGATCGCCTGGGCCTACCTGTCGGCCACTCGGAAGTGACCCCATATAAGGAAACCGACGGAGGTTTTTTGAACAGTGCCTCCTCATTTTCTCCTCCCTCGCCTCCAGATTCATCCGCTGCGCCCACCAACTGCCCGACGCCGCTGCTCTGTTCCGGCCTCATCAGCGACAATGGTGAAAGAGAAGACGGCGGCTTTGGAGCGGGCGAAGAAGGCGACGGTGGCGGCGAAAGTGGAGGGGAGAGCGACCAGTCGAGGGGGATCCTCGTCGCGGTCCCGTTTGCCGCAAGGTTGGATCCAGGGTGATTGGATCCGCTCGACCATCACCCAAAAGGATCTCGACGACCTGGCCGACGAAGGCCTGATTGCGCACGGGGCGGCGAGGCTCCTGGGGATGGAGTGGCAGCCACAGCCTCAGGAGGGTGAGTATGTCCTCTTGGCGACTCATGTAGATCAAGGGTTCTCTCTGCCACCGCATCTTTTCTTTCGAGGGTTTCTGAATTTCTTTGGAGCTCAGCTTCACCACTTTACCCCCAATTCCATTGCCTATCTCTCTGCCTCTGTATCTTTGTGTGAGAACTT